TTGAGTGGGGAGCCAGGAGGAGAAAAGGCATTTGGAGACTGTTGCACTAGGGCCTAAGTTAGACCGGATGTGCATAAGGATATGTAGAGATGGATGAGTAAGATCAAACATATGCCAAGGAAATAAAATTGGCAGCATCGTCATGTTTGATTGAAAGTGGTTAAAGATTTTGGACTTTAGGCTTTAAGCAATAAGGATCTAATAGATTTTCTTAGGAGAGGAAAAACCTGATGAGGATATTACTTTTGAAGAGTTAATCTTTGTATCACTCATGGAATATGCTTTGTTACAATTATCATTGATTTATTTATAGCAGTGTCTCTGCTAGTAAGTCACATGCCTCTTAATAAAAGGGGCCTGACTTTGTTCTTCCTTGTATCTCCTGGGCTTGTCTCCTTGCCCCATGACATTTATTATTATTTAAGGAGACCATTATTAGGAGGCAATAAGCACCGTATAATATGGAACTGAACTAAAAATGGATAAAAAAATTTAGAAAATATACTTAGAAAATTATACTAAACACCTATTCATTTTTTTTCCAGTACCAGGGCTCAAATTCAGGGCCTTGCACTTGAGAGGCAGGCATGGTGCCACTGAGCTAAATCCCTGGCCCTCATTTTTTAAAGTTATTAAATCATACATAGGATACTTTACTAATCTCATGAAGAACAGCTATTTCAAAGCAGTATCCAGCCTCATGGTTAGTGGTAAAATAACAGAGGTGCTTATAAGTAAGAACAAAGAAAGTAAGACAAGAGACCGCTATGGAATATCATGAATGTTTACTATTATTTTGTCACTGTAACATTTTTATTAGTTGTAATAAAGATTTTTAAAAATAGATACAAGTATTAAAAAAGACACCAGAGTATCAGTATTTATAGTTTGATATGATTATCTGCCTGAAAAACTCAAGAGAATTAGTTGGAAATACATCAGAATAGAATATTTAATTAAATTAGCTTTCTTTCCTCCTATTTACGTCACAAGTCATCTTTTGAGTACACTGCAAGGCCACTCTCTCCATGAGCCAGTGCTGGAGAAAGAAAAGTAAGGGGAGCTAAAAGGAGCCAGCCGCATTTTTGGCCATCACTGGGTTTACCATTTATTATTACTGATCATTCGACAATGTTTGTAGCTCTCCCTCCATCCCCCTTCCATTTCCCACCTTGGTGGTGATCGTTCCTCTGCACATTCTACAGTCGGGCTCTGGGTAAGGCAAAGGTGGTAACTATTTCCTACGGAAATGGCACTGGGTTTGTGATGCAGCCATAAGGGTGTGACAGGGATGCCAGCTGCACCCGGTACCTGTTCTCTTCTCCTTCCACAGTAATAGAAGTTTTAGCTCTGTACAAGACTTATTTCTCAGCCTTCCTTGCAGTTAGATGGCCATATGACCAATTCTGGCCCTGAAATTTAAACAATATCGACAACTTCTGCTCACGTTCTTGAAAAGGAGGAACATGCCTCCCCTTTCCTCTTTTCCCGTGGCTAGAACGTGCACACCATAGTGAGAGGTGAATGTCTGATTTTCATGATGACATTTTGGATTTTGAGATAGAAGCTTTATATGGAAGATGTATCAAGAGTATAAATCCCCTGGTTCCCCTCATCATTCGGCTACTCACCTACAATTTTATATGAGGGATAAACATCTTCTTATCTTGTTTAAACTAGTGTATTTGAGCTATTACAATGGACTCTTTCTACCAAACAATAAAGATGTTAAACAATGCAAAGCTGTTCCTCATCTTTAAGGAGTTCAAGGTCTAACAAGGAAGTCAAAGAAATCATCAGAGATGTTCTGATGAGTGCCACGACAGAGGAGACACATGGTAAACTAAGGCGCTGAGGGGCGACAAGACTCTGTGGAAGAGTATTTCATATGGGTTCTGAAGGAGGGCTAGAGTGTGAGCCACTCACTCCCTGAACAAAGCTCCTCTTGAATTTCCTCCCCCTTTGTTTTCTCCTCCTGTACCCACGGGTAAGTGCTGACCTCTCTCAGGGCTCTCTCAATATATCCTTTCCCTAAGTGACTCTCTTCATGATTGAAAAGAGCTCCTCAGTGTTGAATGCCAAGCGCAGCCCAGGTTTGGAATCTTTAATTGCTCACCTGGAAGCTCCACCTGCAAGGCTTGTGGTCACACCACAAACTTCCAGCTCTCTCTCTCTCCCCTCCAGCCTGCTCCTCCCACAGTCGCCTCCCTTTCTATAAAGGTCATCACCACCCACCTAGTGGTTCCACCCAGAAGTCTGAGTCACTCTTAACACCGTCCTCGCCTTGTCTCTCCTCCATGTCCACTGCAGCACCCTGGGAACAACTCTCAAATCCAACCTGTTATCCCCATCCCCACGGCTGCCAACTGGGTGTGTGCTGCAGGGAGGAGCTGGCCTGCAGAGAGATGCCCGGCACCTTCAGATAATCTGTGAGTGAAGCCAGGGGGTGAGAAGGAGCATTCAGAGTCACCAGGGAGGAGGAGGAAAACCTGGCCTGTGGGTCACAGAAGTCAGTTTCCAGGGAAGTTTCAAAGAGGGGCATCACAGCCAATGTTGACAGCTGGAGAAAGGAGTGGTGGACACCATTTTCATAAAAATAAAACCCCCACCGTGCCATGTATGACCATCCACGATTACAAGTGTATAAGTGAACAGGAGGAATGAGTAGTTAGGAGCCAGAGCTTGAAGCCAGACCATGTGGGTTCAAATGCACATGCTGTCATTTACTAGTTCTGAGTGACACCTTGCTCAAGTTGCTTCATTTTTATAGGCACTAGTTGGCTCTCTTGTAAAATGGGGCAATAACAGTGGTACCTCTATGTGATTGCTGTGAGGATTATGTGGATAAATATATTGAAAGAGCACAGGGGTTGGCACATGATAAGTCCTATGTAAGTGTGTGGCCTTTTTGTTATTAATGTGACCCACTGTAATGTGTTTTCTTACCAAGAATAAACAATTCTGCCCAAGGAAATGAGAGAAACAGATATTATGAGGGTGATACATGAAATGAAAGTAGCTTGTGAGATAAAGTAAGGAGTGCATGTATGAGCTTAGTGTGAAGAGGAAAGCTAGAAGGACCACGTAGGGCCCAAATATGCTCATTATGCCAAATATTAGTGAGGCATTCGATATTCGGGAAGGCTTAAAATGATCACTCATGGCTGACACCGTGCAGGCTGCTCTCTGCCTGAGAAATGCATATGAGATCCACAGCTACCCTCCACACTAACTGGTGGTGTCTGTGTCCTGACAGAGCAAGTGTGTGTTAGATCCGGGCCCAGGCACCTTCCGCTACCAAGCTTCCTGTTCACCTCCCCTGTGGCCTCTGAAATAACCCCATCAGCAGGGAAGAATAATACAGCTGGGAATGGAGGCAGGAAGGGCAGGAATCTATGCATAAAATATATTCATAAAATATACACCCATTGGTACCCTACCCTGAATGTGGTAAGCAAGCCTCTTTCCCTGGCTTCTTGCTGTGTGTTTTAAGCTGCTCCAAGGAGCCCTGTGATTTCAACATCTGAATTCTGCTTTGAGCCTTTCTCTGCAAAGCCTTCTGGGAGAGGCTCACTGGGTGTATTTGGAGGCTAATTTTCCACACCACACCCACTAGTCATTTCACAAAAGGCATGAAGGTATGGGGAGAGAAACAAGTCCCTTTTTCTTTACGTATTTTTGTATTGAAAAATTAAGAAAAATTTCAACATGGTAACATTTAGTGTGCATATGAGTTGGAAGAATGACCTATAAGAAATGGCCCAAACTCCTGATATATTAAAAGGATTGTTGCTGCCAGGAAAAAATTTCTGCCCTAACAAGGCCAATTAAAACATCACTGTCCTTGACGCTGACCCTGTCCTGTTTGAAACAGAGATGCCAGCTGTGCTGTCCAGGATAGCCTGGCTTCATTTTCAACGTGGAGCTGCCTTTGTAGGTCAAAACCTGTCCAGTTGCTGCCCAAGTTCTTTCTGTTCTCTTTCCTCTTTCTCCACATGTAGAAAAAGGCATGAAGCAGTCAGACCTGGAGTCTGCTTTCTCTTCTTCCTTTAAAAACATGTTGCTTCTTTAACAGCCAAAGTGATGAGAAGAAGAATAATTCTACTGTGAAAGCTACCAACTGGGGACTTTACGAGCCATTTAGTTCCAAATAATGCACTAGGAAGCCACTATCTCCGGGGGACACTGGACCACAGTCTTTATGGCTTTCGTTTGAAACTGAAGTTTTGCTTTTATGTGTCAATACTGCAAGTGGATTTATCAAGAGAGAATTTTCATGTGCTCCTGAAGGGACCAGCTATTCCGTACTTAGAATTATTTTAATTCTTCCTAAGAAAGGACTTCAAATCCCGAAGCTGCAGGCTCTATAAAATTCTCTTCAATATATTTCATGATGAGCAGCTTAAACCTTGGATTTAAAAAAAGCAGCTTTCTCTTTCACTACTTAGTAATTTTGGATGGGATATGTTAACTTTCAGGCGTTGTTTTCTTTGTTGTAAAATGGGACCAATATCACCCATACTTATGGGGCTGTGAAAAGGCTTAGGCAGCACTTGAACAGTGCCTCGTACATAACACACGTTCATAAATGTTAGCTGCTATTACTGTTGTGCCAGGACAAACCGTAAACTCCCGGGGACAGGGTCTGGCATCCCCGCGGGCTCATCACAGGCATAAACAGACTTGTTGAGTAACTGTACGATCCGCTCCGCTCTCTCCGCACCTCCACAGGCTGGACCAGAAGCAGGCTGTGATCGCACTCGGAACTGCGCACACGTCCTCCAGAGGGGCTCGGCCAGGAAGGTCCCCCGGCCTGGGGCTCCGGGCGCCCCTCAGCTCACCCCGCCGTTGGCCTCCTTTCCTCGCCCCCTCCGGTATCCGGGCGGGGCGGGAGGCGGCGGGCGCGCATCCGGCGCCGCAGGAGGCGGGCGCTGCACCTGCGGGCGGGCGGGGCCGACTCGAGCAGGCGAGAGCAGCGGCGCGGAGCAGGGCGGCGCGGAGCAGGGCGCCCCCGCCAGGTACCCGCCCTGCCGGCTGCGATGCCGCGCGCCGCCGCCCCGCGCCCCGGGGACAGCTGAGCCCCCGCCGCCACGCAGGTGAGTGGGGCCAGGGCCGGGGACCCGCGTGGGCCGCCAGCGCCGCCCGCCCGCGCTCGCACCTGCGGCGAGGACTCGGGTCCGCGCCTGGCCTCGCCTTGCCGCGCCTCGCCCCGGCCGCCCGCGCCGGCTTGGACCGCTGCCCCCTCGGCGGCGCGGGTGGCTGTCGCGGGCCCCGGAGCGCCCGCCGCGGGCAGCGCTTCCGGAAACGCCACGGGAGCCGGGGACAAAGGCGCCGCCCGGGGAGCCCCGCGTGGGCACCGGGCCGGGTCCAGGCTCCTCGCCTGGCCGCGGACGCCGGGAGCGAAGCGGGTTGTCGCCCGCACGGCCGGGACGCGGCGAGGCCCTGGCGGGGCCGCAGGAGGCGGCGGCGAAGGCGTCGCTCCCGGGTGAGCAAACCCGGGCGGGCGGGGCGCCCATCCTCCAGCGCCTCCATCCCGGAGAAGGCGCGCTCCTGCCCCCCCCCCGCTCCGTCCCGCCCCGTCCCGCCCCGCCTGGCGCCGGGTCCGAGCGTCCCCTGCCCGACCGGGAGTCTGAGCCCAGCGAAATCCCGGCGCAGCCTCCCCTCCTTCGCCCTCCCCACGTACACAGCTGGACACCCCCCCCCCCCGGGACGGCCGGCGCTGGGGGTCTTGCAGCTTTTCTTTCACCCAGACGCCCATAACGCCTCACGGGAGTGCTGGGAAGAACCTTAAAATCCTAAACTGCTGTCCAGCTGCGTGCCCGGGTCACGCGTCCTGGGCCCATTTTCTCTGGTGTCGGATGGTACCGCACCCGAATTTCGCCTTAGCCTTTGTAGAAGTCCACGGTAGGTGTCCGCCTACCCTCCTTAGCGGGGTGGACTAAAGAGTGGGTGCACACAGTGGAGGGACCAGCGCCGTGTAAGAGAGTATTAGGTCTGCAGTGTGGGCCTTGAGCCGCTCAAGGTGTAGGCATCATTGATGGTCTTGAAAAAGCGGAAGGAATCTTCGCTGTTGAGAAGCTCAGCTCTTGGCTTACAGTTGCGGCTGGTCACTAGCAGACGGGGAATGTTTTCAGCTTCTAAGTGATGCGAAGTATTTAGAAGGATGGGTGGTTTTTGTTTCAAATTGTAAGTACAATTTAGCATTGCTTAGGAAAATGTTGCAACGTTGTTAATGAGCCCAGGGCAAGACACTCGGGGTGGGGGGTCGTATTTCAAGCTGCATGAAAGCTACCAAGCATGTTTACAAGTAATTTATTTCTAAGGCACTCTCCTGGTTAACACAAGGTAAATATAAAAACCTGACAGCAATCTGAAAACAAGGACAAAACAGCCGGCTCGCAGGTATTCGGTGTTGTGGGTGTTGGTCACCAGTTTCATTATATACAATGTGTGGATAATATCAGTCCTAAAACACATTTAGAGCACTTAGTATGCTTGAAACACCATCTTAAAGAGTTCATTTTTAAATCTCTGAAGGTGTCTTTCCCTTAATTGTGTTCGTGATGAAAAGGAAACTCGGAAGGGTTAGGCAGCTTGGGCTAACCACATAATCGGTTAGAGGTGGAGTTAGAGTTAAGCCCGTGTGTCTGGCTCCAAAGCCCAGGAAATTCACAGTGTCCCTCCCTACCTAGGACTCATTAAGTGCTCCCACTGCCAGCTACTTTACTTGCTTCTTGCCTTTGAAGACTGACTTCATTTCAGTTTACGTGTACATGAGAACATTTACCCATGGGAGAATAACTATATATCTGTAATGGATGAATATTAGTGTATGTTAGCTTTTTGGTTTTGCTTCTTTTGGTGTTTGGTAAATCTTTTTCTAAAAATTAATTTTATTGGTACATTTTAGGTATACGATATGATGACATTCATCATTGGAAATTTGTACCTTTACGTAATCTATCTCTGGTTCTTTTTTTTTTTTCCCCCCTTCCCCTGCCCTCCCTTCAACCCCTCCACCCCTCCCTATTTACAAAGACTTTGTTTCCTTTTTTTCATTTTCTCATATGTATTCCATTCCCTTCTTACCTTTTCCCTACTCCCACTTCCTCTTCCTCTTTGCCCCTTTTCTTCTTATTTCACATTATCTATTATATGCGTGTTTGGTAAATCTTGATTTAGCATTCTTCTTGTGAGAAAAATGCAATACATGTGGGTCTGCCAGCTGCTTTGGTACATTGGCTTAGGAAAAAAAAAAGATATATTTATATACTTTTTCTGCAATCTTCATACAAGTACCAGCTGTTGAAAGTGGGTACCTTAAGGAAGTGGGGTGGGATGGAGGTGGTGTTTTTACTTCTTACCTTATAAAGTCAGGTTTGGGCTTTTCAAAAATATTTGGAACAAGCGTATGTTCTTCTATTATATAAACTAAAAAGAGAAGCAAAGGAATAGAATTAATTCACTTTATAAAAATCGCAAATAAGAGAAATTTGTGTGTGCCTGAACTATCGTGTTGTTAAGGGAGTGAAACGAGACTCAGGTGATGAGAGAGAACGGCGGTACCCTGGTGGCTTTGCAGGTGCTGGAGAGTAAGGAGTCTTGGGGTAAAAAATCGGTCGTCTAACAGGAGCTGTAGCATCTTCTACATTCCTCAATTTCCCTCCTCAATCAGAAGGCTTTGGTACACACCACAGAAGAATTCCTTTCTTCCTGGTCTTGCTAGTGGCAATAAGCATGGGAAGCATCATTCTTCTCTACAGAGCGGTCTGTAGAAGGTAGAGTAGGAAAAATCAGTTTGGCGGGTCTGTCTCTCGTGAAGTTATGGCTGTAGTTTCTCATGAAACTGTGACTTGATGTGTAATTATTTTTAATAATGTTATCAGGAGCAACAGGTCACCCTTACATAATCTAGACTGATGCATATATGTTTATTAAATAGAATCCTACAGTTCTGCCAAGTTCTGTGTTTTCTTTGGTTGTTGTTGTTTTTTGGTACTGGGGATTGAATTTAGGACCTTTCACTTGCAAGGCAGGTGGCGGCACCACTGAGCTAAATCCTTGGCCCTCAAGTTCTGTGTAAAGTTAACAAAAATTAATGGTAAGAATCTTAAATTAAGACACATCCCTGCTCAGACTTAGAAATCCAGAACCAAATACATTCCAACTTTTTCAGAATCAAGAAACATCCTTCATGTTTTCTGCACGAAGGAAATCTGAATAAATTCAGTTCATTATAGATTCATTATAGGTAATCCTGAGAAAAAGATAATTAGATTATTTTGCAAAAGAGAGACTGACAATTTTAGGTGTCGTGTAACATTTCACTTAAGGTTTTAATTATGTTTTAGATAAAAGGAAATCTCAAAGTTTTGATTTAGGACTCTTTTAAATCAAATGCAAAATCTTACCCTACTAAAAAGCAAGTTTGGGTGAAACTTTTTTCCTTAAAGCAAAACTGTCACAGCATTTTCCAGGTGTAGCATTTTGGCTTCCTGGGAAAACCAAACACACATCTGATGTGAATTTTCTGTGAGGCAGTGGAACACCTAGCTACCCAGCATTAGCTCTCTGTGGCCATTTCCTGTCCTGGCATTGGAGGGTAAAAGGGGCTTGTGGCAGTCTTGGTCTTTCATAGGTCCTGAATGATAGGCTACCGAGTACCTAGCCCCATAGCTGGATTCAGTATCCTTTGTGTTGTAACTTTTTGATTCTCTATAATTTGAAGATATTTATTTACTGTTTAGTAGAATGACACTGTTTCAAGTTTGCTCTTTGGGTAACTACTAATCATTTGTTAAGACAAACCCTGTTTGATTTGTAGATGCAGAAGCCGAAAAAGAAAACCAAAACAAAGTTTTAAAACTGAAACAACTAAATCTTGCATTTAGATCACTTGCCTTGCCTTAAGACATTAACGTGTGTGCTGTGTATTACCACTGTGGTTGCTACATTTTGTCTTTAAAACATGCAGACACATGCACACCCCTACCTCAGCACCAGCCAAAGCCAAGCCCACCAGGCACTTTGGGTGTGTTCAGGTGGCCGCCACCTTCCTTGGACCCTGTAAACGAAACTGAGCCGTGGATACTGACCGCTGCGTTGGAGGCATTTGCGATTTGGAAATGTAAACTCGGGCTCTGTTCCTTTGGACTCCGTGGTCCTATTGAATTCTAGGATGTGGGAGTGAGGTAAGAGAATGAAGTAAAGACGGAAGAAACTCCGGCTATTAAAAAAGCCATATGAAGGACTGAATCAAGGAGGGCTTGGACACCTTTCTTGACGTTTGTTGTGGACACTTTGGGAGTCTAATTCAGGAAACATTCTCTAAGTGGAAAACAGGAAAGTCCAACTCAGAACGACTCTGAAGAAAAGTTTAGAAGCCTTTTGATCTGAGACCGGGAGGGAACTGACTGGGGAGACAGAGGGGGAGCCAGGCACATCACGAGTCAGCTGCTGTCAGAGGGAGCTCCTGTGAGCCTTTGCGGGGGAAGAAAAGGAGAACTGGAAGGAGGAACTGGTGCTGCCTGTGCATGCCTGATTTGTGGGCTGGCTGCGCCAGGGGAAAGTGAGGGACGAGTCTGGGCTGGTAGCCGCCTGTGTGGGGTGACGCAGGGAAACCTTCAGCCCACAGCCAGGGCCCCGTGAGCCCCTGGACACGGGTGAAGTGGGTACTTGGCCTGCAGAGCCTGAGAGCGGGCAGGAGTGGGTTCCTGGGTCCCCTGTCCGGAACGCCCCTCTCAGGACTGTTCTGGCTGCTCCTAGGGACACGGGTTAAGGTGGGACCAGGGCAAACAGGGTTCCTCTCACACAGGGCCAAGTCCCCTGACTGAACGCACAGCCCAGCCTTACGAAGGGGCTCACACATCCTCTGTGACTCTTAATTGTGCACTGTTCCTGATGACCCTGATTTGATGGAGGGGTCCAGCTGCTTCAGAGATTCTGAAGGCTTCTCACTGCTGCTCCAAAATGATGTCTGCGGAGTCGTGTTCAGTGGATACGCGTGCCACCCGTTCACCTGTAGAAGGGAGTTTAGATAAAAGATTTTGTTGTTTTATTTTTAAAAGGGTTTAACTGACACACTTTTTATTGTTTA